AAAAAAAAAAAAAAAAAAAAAAAAAAGAAAGAAAAGAAATGGCTTTATGCCAAAACTTTAAATGCTCCAGAGACTTGCAAAATTCCATTTTAAAAGGGAACTATGTCCCATAACGCTATTTTCATATTCTATTGTATAGCAAACATGGTAGCATGCATGTGTTGGTGTGGCAGTTATTTTTTACCTAATCTAACCACATCGAGCATCCGCCCATTGGAAGGAAACTCTTAGCTAAGCTCCACGATGCCTGCTGTTAGGACCATGGAGGAAAGTGGAGAAGGCTGGGGGTGGGGGTTGGGGCTAGAAGTGGTGACTTGTGCACATGACAGAGCCCTCCTTCCTTCCTGTATTATGAGCCCTTTAGAGTGAGAAGTTGACGAGCCCTCTCCTTTGAGAATTGGGGTGTCAGCTCCACTTCATTTCTATAGCCTTGAAATGATTAATTTTAGTGAAAACTAGTCTAGGAGAAATCGTAGAGGTCCCTACAGAGTTCTTTTTAATGAAATTTGACCTAATGTGTGCTGAATAATTCTTTAAAGTCATATGGTCTGATACAGGACGGGCTGAATTCCCAATTCTAACCAAAGGCTGGGTGTGCTATTGAAGACCCTGGGCTGATGATGAGAGTTTGTGTAGCCAAAAGTCCAGCTGTACCCCCTGGAGGCTCCCTCCTCTGCAGTTAGGAGCTGTGTTGCCTGGTGTCCAGCCTTGGAGAAGCAGAGCTCTCCTTTGGCCCAGGAGGCTTTACAAGAGAGCAGTTCTCCTCTAAGCCCAGAGGCTTTCTGTGTATACTGTGGGACAGACAGAGAAGCACCAGTCAGAAGCATTTCCCCTCACAAGGGGAGCTAGAGATCTGTCATAGTGTCAGGGAACTGGGCTGACTTATGGGGTGGACAAAGGTTTGCAAATCACTTTTCTTCCCAATCCAGGCATGGAGTTGGCTAGACCTGAGGGCAAATCCTGCTGCAACACTTGCTTATGTGACATGAGCAGCCCTGCCAACTCTCTCAGTTTCAGTCTCTCTCCCTGAAAAATGGGAATAATAATAATCCTCTTTGCATGAAGATTGCATGAGATAATTCATGAATGCATGTACTCCCAGCTACGCCTGTTGCTCAGTAATGTTACAGGGGTGAGAGGGAGGGGGAGCGGGAGCAGGAGAGGCTTCGATGGTGGAGACGAACGGCCAAGCTTAGGGTTTGCCACCTCGCTCTTTTCTTCCACAAGCTTCCCCTGCTGCTGCCTCCTCCGTGTGGCATCACCTGCTGCAGACTGCAGAGCTGGGGTGGCGAGAGAGGCAGCAGCGTTCTCTGCCTGGGAGCGTTCTCTTTATAACAAAGGCCAGCCTCCCTCACCCCAGGTTAGAAGCTTCCACACCTCTCCACTCTCTGCCTCCTCGTTGGCCACTCTCAGCCTCTGTGGGACCATCTACGCTCTCAGCTCCCTTGTCCCTGACTTCTCTAGCTCTTTGCTTCCCCAGGTCAGCCCCGCAGGATGTGCTGGTGCACTGCTTGCTGCCCCGGAGGTACACAAGGTACTCAGTGTGCCAATCCTTCTGCAAGGAGTGTCTCTGCTTCTAGAAAACATGCCTGCCCTTTGGGGCTCCATCCACCTGTACAGGGCAAGGCCCCGCTGGCAGCTGCTTGGCACACGGGCTGGAGGGGTTGAGGCAGAAGCAGCACTCGCAGGAAGAAATGATGCTGAAGTTCCTGGTGGGCAAACTTTGGCATTTCCCTCTTATTTGACAAGCTCACATTTTCCGGTCCTCTTCTCCAGTTATTTGTTTGTCCCCCTTTTTCTATCCTTGTTTTCTGGGGGCCACCCATCATCCTTTTCTTTCTCAGTTTCCCCCAGTCCTTCCCTCATCCCTGTTCACTTTCCTTGTCTGGAGTTCGTGTTGTCAAGCACATTGGAATTCCTAAAACAACCCTGCTTCCACTGCTGCGGTGTTACAGATAATTCACTATTCTGATGTATGTGGCGTTACCATCATAAAAAGCCAATTTCCTGGGTGATTTATTGTGATGGGGGCAGGAGCTAGGATGTTTACCATTTGAAGAAAGAGTCCTGGGAATGGATTAAAACTTTGGGGAGAATTTATGGTCAAACCTCAAGGCACACTAATTCAGGGCCAGGGCAATATTCTGCTTGAATAGTTACCCATGTCTTCAGGCCACCCAGGTTGAACTTCCCCTTGTTCCACCCATGGTTAGAAATCACCTCTAAGTATCAGCTCCCTGTCAGTACTCGCAATTATCTCATCTCTGTCTTCTGTCTGATTGACATGTCACATATCATTTACAGGTACCCTGATTCCAGCTTTTTCACAAAATGGACTATAAGTCTCTTCCCAGGATGAAGATAGGTAGATTTCAACTCTTGAGATTATAGAAAGAGCCCTGTCCTGGTATCAAAAGCCTGGGTCTGATACTAGCACCTTCATGAATATTCTGAGAGACCTAAGAGCAATGAACTTCTCAGCCTCAGTTTCCTCATCTACCAAGTGAGACGACTGGACCAAATACTTCCTTTCGTGTCAACTATTGCTAATATTCCATGAAGAAAACCCAGCACTGGGCTCTAGAAATGTGTACAGGTTTTTAATCTTCCTCCTTGGAAGGGCTGTGGGCTCATGCGCACCCTGGGAGAAAGGCAGGAATGAGTGTTACTTTCTTTAGTGCTGTGTTTCCCCAGTACTTATTTGAACTCTAATGAGACTTACCACTTCTATATCCTCCTTTCTTTCAGCACTCTCCAACAAGTTTTACAGACTCGTCGGATGAAGAGTACCTGAGACACTGAGGGTCAGCGCTCCAAAGATGGAGAAGACAGATGGTAGGCAGGCTGCTTTGTAGGGCCTGGTTTAAGATAAGCACTTGGGCTGGGAAAGAATTGTTCCCATAAATCCTGGAAATAGCCTAGGAAAGGCCTGCAGGAGATGTCCCCTAAACAGGCAGTGCTGGTAGGCTCAAAGCATGTATTTCAGATTTCATATATCTCCAGCTCTAGCTGGAGAAGCTGGAAAGAAGCACAATATGGTGAAAGAGCCTCCATTCATACCTAAGTGATTTTACAAGTCATTTAATGTCTTTGATCCTCAATCCTCCCATGTATCAGTTAGCTTCACTGTGTAACAAATAGCCCAACAGTTTAACGACTTAAAGACATTAATTATTTCTCAGAAGATTATGTGGGTTAGCAGGGCCATTATTCTGGTCTAGGCTGGTGCAGCTGATCTTTTCTGGGTTCATTCATATGTCCATGGGCTTCTGGGTGACTTGGCTGGGCCCAGATGGCTTAGAATGGTCATATTCACATACTTGGGGTATCAGTAATGACTTGGCCATGTGACACTCATCATCCAGGAGGTTGAGTGGGGCTTGTTCACATGTTGGCAGAAGAGTTCAAGCACTATACAAGAACAGACTGGCTCCAATGTGCAGGTAATGTTCCAATCTCTGCATATGTCACATTGTTGTTGACCCAGTGGCCAACATAAGTCATAAGGCCACATCTAGCATCAGTGCAGTAAGGGAGTACCCCAAGGGTCAGATATTACTGTGGCTATCTTTGTGAACAGTTGACCACACCTTATCTATAAACAGGTATTAATACTATTTCCTAGGGTTGGTAAAGAACTAGATGACATAGGCTGGGCACAGTGGCTCATGCCAGTAATCTCAGCACTTTGGGAGGCTGAGGCAGGCGGATCACAAGGTCAGGAGTTCAAGACCAGCCTGGACAATATGGTGAAACCCCGTCTCTACGAAAAATATAAAAATTATCCAGGGTGGTGGCACATGCCTGTAGTCCCAGCTACTCGGGAGACTAAGGTAGGAGTATCACTTGAACCTCGAAGGTGGAGTTTGCAGTGAGCCAAGAGTGCACCACTGCACTCCAGCCTGGGCAACAGAGCAAGATTCCGTCTCAAA